CACTCTAGTATTCTTCCCTGAAAATTTCCATGGACAGAAGAATCCGGCAGGCTACGGTCCATGGAGCTGCGAAGAGCCGGATACAACTGAACAACTGAAAACAAGCTCTACATTTGCTTATCTTTCCTGTTGTCTTACACAGAAGTGAAGACTTAATAAAATATTTACTTAATTTCTTGAAAGTCAATTCTGTGAGCCATTCACATAACTATTCGAAAAACAACAAAAAACAAAGCCTTGATGAGACCTTTCTGACTAGAGAAGGCTACTCTGACCGAAAGCATCCTATGAGATGGTTGGATGGCATCACCAACTTGATAGACATGAGTCTGAGCAAGCTCTGGGAGTTGGTGATAGGTGGGAAGCCTGGCATGCTGCAGTCCATGGGGTTGCAAAGAGTCAGACACGATTGAGCGACTGAACTGAACTGATCCTATGGTGCACAATTCTAATGAAGAATAATGATTTCATAAATCAAATCTGTCAGTTCTCACCCTGAAAATACAAGCTTCTTTTTAAAATGTAATTACCATTATATTTAAAACACTATTTTTCTTCAACTGGTCTTTGTAGAACACATACACAAGACCTAATCTTCTAGAATTTCTATGACCAACATTACTTAGGTAAGAACTAAGCAAGTCTAATTACAAGAGCTCTTAAACAGCAGTTATACCTTACCTGGCAAAGAGTAAGAACCAAAACAGTACAAAGAAAAACATTCAAGTAGATAAAATGCACTACTTCAAACTCTGATAGCCAACATAATCTGTTTCCATAAGCACTCCCCTAATACTCTTACATTAGAACAATGGAGAAAAATCAACTCAATATTTTAAATAAGGTTTCAATTATTTATCAACAATTAGAAGGATTTCCACATGTTTTTAAAAGTAGCTTTAAACAAATGCTATTAAGTGAAAACTAGTTATTTCCATTTTTGTTCATTGTACCTAACTTTGATCTGTAAATTAATACATTAATAACTGAAGTTAAATTTTCAATATCTATAAATAACATAATAGCTAAAGAGAGAAGGCACATAAAATATTCAGCACTTCTCCATTTCCATGTTTTTATAGCCATATAAAACTAAACCATCTACTACTGTTTTTTAGTAGAAATTAAATTTATAAAGTCTAAATCAATAGCAAATCAAAATGTAGTATTTTCTTTCTTTCTTTTTTTGTTAATGTAAGTATTTTCAATAAATGGTCCTGGAACAATTGGATATCCATATTCAAAAAGTTGACCTTAGAATCTCAACTTAGACCATACTCAAATGTTAACTCAAAATGAGTCCTAGATGTAAATATAAAAGCTAAAACAATAAACCTCTATTTTAAAAAAAAATGTGAAGAAATCCTTGAAACCCAAAGCAAAGATTTCTTAAATATAACACCGAAAGCATCATCCATAAAAGGAAATAGCCAATAAGCAGGACCTCATAAAAATTCAAAACACGTATACATGTCAGACAACTGACGTGAAGAAAGTATCTGCAATAAGGGACTTGTATCCAGAATTTATAAAAAAAATTCTTATAAACTCATCTTAACCAATCCAACAAATAACTAAAGATATGAAAAGACATTTCACCCAAGATACACAAATGGCTATTCAGTATATGAAAAGATGTTCAGTATCATCACTAGGAAAGCACAAGTTGAAACCCCAATGAGTTACCATTTCACACCTACCAGAAAAGTTATAAGAAGACAATAAACAAATGTCAGTGAGGATTTGGAGAAATAGGAACGCTCATACATTATTGGTGGGATTGTAAGATGGTACAACCACTTTGGAAAAGTGTGCAGTTTCTCCAAAAGATAAAAATAAAATTATGATACAAGCCAACAATTCTACTCTTAGGTATCTACCCAATATATATGAGAACATATATCCACAACAAAGACTTGCATACAACATTTGTGGTGGCATTATCTGTAACAGTCCCAAACTGAAAACAGAGATCATAAACAGGTGACTGCATAGGCAAAATGTGGCATTTTCATGAGGTGGAATATTATTCAGCAATGAAAAGAAACCATGCTGTGTCATGCACGAACATCAAAAGCCTTGTTAAAGGAGTTAGACATGAGAGACTTCATATTCAATGATCTCATTTATAAGAAATGTCCAGAGAAAGCATATTTATTCAGACAGAAAACAGATTAACAGTTTCCTAGGACTAAGGGTTAACTATAAATGGCAGGAGGGATTTTATTGTGGTGATGAAAATGTTATAAATCTATAAAATGGTTGTACCATTCAATAAAGTCACTAAAAATCACTGACTTGTACTACACGATACATTTAGAATGGGTGACTTTTATATGTTAAACATGCTTGAAAAAAAGTTGTGTTTAAAAATAAACGTGCTTTTGTTTCTAGTCCCTTAAAGAATTACAATGGACCCTTGAACAACACTGGAGTTAGGGGCACTGGACCCCAGGAAGTTGAAAACTTGTGTATAACCTTATATTCAACCCTCAGTATTCATGGTTCCACATTTTAGGATTCATCCAACCTGGACTGTATAATACTGCAGTATTTATTTAGAGGAAAAAAGTAATCTGTTGTAAAAGTACACCTCTGAAGTTCAAACTCATGCTGTTCAAGGGTCCACTGTAAATGAGTAAGTTTAGACTGCTGCAACTTACATAATTTTTATTAAGCAATTGTACTGATTCTAACTTTGGATGGGAGAGCACTGCCTAACTTTGGAGAGGAGCTCATACAGTGTTAGGAAACCACCCCAGTTGGTTGCTCACTGGGAAGGAGTCTTCCAGGAAAAGGATTTCTCATAAATCCAAGTACCTTCTGTTGGTTTATATTTTAAGTCAGTGCCTAAAAGCGGTTCAAGGATATACACAAAAAGAGATTTAAGCTGTCCTGTGACAATGGACCAAATGATCTATCTAATGGGTATTTTAGCCAACATTCAGATTACACAAGAATTTTTTAAAAAACAATTTTTAACACAATTTGAAAAGGAACACTATACATTATATAACCTGGAAAGTGAACATGCCTAGATGGTGAAGACTTGAGTGTATAACATCAAAACACAATAGTCCTTAGTAATGTCACAGCATTAATCCAGTTCCTGAATCTTCATATATTCACTCTAAATATATTCTCTTCACTTAACACTTTATGAGGTCTTGCAAACCTAAGCCAGGACTTCACAGCCCTCACAGGACTTGAACGGATTTTACAAACCTGAGGTCTTTACACAAATACCAGCCTATCAGTAAGGCCATGCCTGACAATCTTACTGAAAATTACTAACTGCACGAAACTCTGATTCATTTTTCTTCACAGCACTAAAAATACTACACACACACACACACATATATATATACACATAGTGATTACTCTCTTCCCCTATTAGAATATAAGCACCACAAAAGGAAAAATTTTACTGATTTTGCTCCTAGGTATCCCCATTACCTAGAACAGTGCCTGGCTCACTGTAGGCACTCAGTAAGTGTTTACTGAACAAAAGAAAGGGTATCAGACATGTGCAAGTAAATAAAAGCTGATTCCTGCCATCCGAATGAACGAGTCTCTTCTATCCACTTACAGCCTGGATTCAAGGTTAAAATAGGATTTTTGGACGAACTGAAAGAGTAGGATTGATATATACATTACCATGTGTAAAACAGCTAGCTAGTGGGAAGCTAAGGTAAGGCACAGGGAACTCAGCTGGGTGCTCTGTGATGACCTAGCAGGTGGGAGGGAGACTCAAGAAGCAGGGAATACATGTATACTTGTAGCTGATTCTTAATGTCATACAGAAGAAACTAACACACAATTGTAATTTACTCTCATTTTAAAAACTTAAAATTTTTTCACTATGATTTTTTAAGGGAATAGAGGCCTCAATAAAATCTTCAAGCTGCCTACCCAACATTTTCCCAGCAAAACGAAAAAAGAAAAAAGAAACAACCCAAAGAAGTATTTTTAATAAGTTGGTTCTAGTTCCTGGAGAGAGGACAAGTTAATTAATCCCACATGACTCTTATTAACAAGAAAAACACGAAAGTTCAATACTTAACTAGTAACCAGTAAAAAAAAAAAAAAAAAAAAAAAATCAAAGCAGTCTGTTTTTCTACACGCAAAATGAGATCCCATCACCTAAGAATACAGGGCTCAGCAGAGTATGTCTTAGCAGTTCTGGCCTCAGCCCTACATCCTCCAAGATCCAACACCAAAGTCCCATTTTCCTCTCCCTCCATCCTAGAAGCCTTCCTAGAACCATTTTACACACACCAACCAAACTTCAGACCTCCCAGTTCTAACTAAGCCCTGACCCAACCCAGATGCATCCCAGCGTTTCCCACGGCCAGCAGAAAGACCCACCTACCTCGCGCCCCGGGATCCCCCCTAGACTACCAGCCCCACTAATCCAGAGTCAGAGAGAACGCAGGAATCCAGACAGCAGCACTTCCTAGCCTGGCCAAAATTGGAGGACATTTTAGACCTTCATCCCGGTTCTGCCAATTTCGGTGTGACCTTGAACACGTCCCTCCTAGGGGGTCCCCATTTTCTCACGTTAAAGGCGAAGGTAACACCTGCACCTGCTGTAATCACACGTGAAGCACTTAACGGGACACCTGGCACGAAATGGGAACTCCACCATCAGGACCTTGGGTCATTCCCCAGCCCTATCCTTACAGCCTCCCAGCTGAAAGGCACCTCGCCCAACAACCCAGTCTCCGGGTTTCAGAGGGGGGCACTGAGGTCGGGCGGTAAAAGCCTGCTGGACGCCAGTCCCAGGACCCCGCGACGCCCCCGCCCGAGCCTCCTCGCCCGGCCCCCGCCGCTGCCGCGGGGCGAAGCGGTACCCACTGCTTTCCCTGGGTCCCCAGGTTCCGCGCGGCCCGGGCGCGGCCGCTCCACCTGCCGCCAGGCCCCGCCACCCGCCGCCCGCTCGCGGGCCGGCGCCCCCGGACTCCGGGGCTCGGCCTCCCGCGAGGCGCGGCGTACTCAACTCTTCACTTTGCCGAAGGTGCCGACGCCCAGCGTGTCGCCCAGCACGTAGTGGCCGATCTTCACCCGCCCGTCGTGCTTCTGCTTCTCAGCCATGTTCGGCGCGCGCAGCCTCGCTCCGCCGCCGCGGGATCCCGTGTGCGGCCGCCGCCGCCGCCTACCCACAGTGCAGCGGGCCCGCGGGGGGCGGGGGCCCGAGACTTGGGGACCAGGCGGGGCGGGGCGGGGGGAGGGGGGACGCGAGCAGGTCGGGGTCGGGGCGTGGGCGTGAGCGCGCCGAGGCCCCGTGGGCGGGCGTCAGGCCGGCGTGGGCCCGGGGCCAGGGCCCTGGGGGCGCAGTGGAGGGAGGGTGGGCGCTGGGTGCGGGGGAGGTCGGAGGCCCACAGGTGTGCGCGGAGCGGGGTGGGGGATGGATGTCGCCTCGCTACCTGGAGGAGGGGCCCGGGGGTGGGAGCCGGGTTAGGGGGCCCGCGAGCAGAGCCTGTCAGAGTGGAAATGAGAGGGTGAGATTTGGGCCGAATCTTGGCGAGTGGAAAGAGATGGAAGTATTAATGGAACCTGGAGAAGAGAAACAGGCCTGGAGTGTGGGGAGAGAGAGGCGTGAAGAGCCGCTTGTGGGTCTGAGGGAAGTCAGCGCTGGCGGCAGTGGGGAAGGGCCGTGATCGAAGGTCAGTCGGAGGAGAGTCACAAGGAAGTTTTTGGAGTCACGGACTGTTTTCATACAGGTCACCACGGCACAAACAGAAAAAGCCAACTCTGTCCTGGCTTCACTGGTCCTCCTCCTCGTGCTGTCTAATTCTCAGTTATGGAGGACAGACCCTCTCCTCTAGAGCTCCCGGTTCTAACTAGTTTGCACAAAGTTCTCCGATCAGTCCCAGTATTTGCTCAACTGTATTTTAGACATACTTACATAAATATATGGGCTTTCTAGGCGGCTCAGTGGGAAAGAATCCGCCTAGGAGACAGGGGTTCGACCCCTGGGTTGAGAAGATCCCAGGGAAAAGGAAATGGCAATCCACTCCGGTAGTGTTGCCTGGGAATTCCCATAGACTGAGGAGCCTGGTGGGCTGCAGTCCATGGGGTCGCAAGAGAGTCAGACAGGACTAATCAAGTATATATAGCATAGAAATTGTGGTAGAGCGGCACAAGAGGGAAACTGAACGTAGTGAGCTTGGGGGGTAAGCTACCTAAGGAACAAGGGCCATGTAAGGGCACAAATTAAAGGTAAAGATTGAAGGGGGAGTGAGGAACCGGTAAGAGGAAACTAGAAGCAGGCAGAGCCTTAAAAACTGCTGAGATACAGTAAGTACAGTGATTATGGCTTCCTCCTCCCGCCCTCCCTTCTCTCTTTTCTTCTTTCTTTCCTTCCTTCAGTCTCCTGGTTTCCAGTGTTGCCTGTCTCTCAATGCTTAAAAATCATTTGCCTATTGGGAATAAATGTTTGAGGATTAGTTGAACATCTTTTACCTTTGTGTATGACGGTAGAGTTTCAAGGTCACATTCCTCAAATAGTCTCATTGCATTATTTATACGTAAAGAGAGAAATGTATTAAAAAGGATAAGACGTAACAAAAGTTCCTTTTCTAAGAAGTGATGAATATGCAAATGGAAAACTTGCATCTATTCTGCACACCAAGCCAGTCTGATGAGAGATGATCATGGCTTATAAATTATAGACATCACAGCTGTTGAACAGAGGCTATTTCTGTTCATTCTTGGGATCATCTTTCTTGCTGACAAGAAGTATCATTTAAGAATCACTCTACCTAGCTGGCAATTGAGGGAAAATAGACAGTTATTTTGATACTGGTATTTGGTTAAGGATCAGTCCTTCGGTATTTATTCAAGTAAGAAAAAATATCTGTTCTGTTTTTGAGAAATAAGATGAATGTGTCACTTGTTTTAACATCCCAGTAAAAGATGTTAAAGACTATTAGATTGCTTTCTTGAAGCTTTATGAAGACAGCCTATAAAGAAATTTTAAAGCATTCTGCAGTGTCTTAACTATTGGTGGATAATTAAACTTTAATTATTATATGCCACATAACTATGATCCTTACCTAGCAACTATGAACTACTTTGTAGTTTTATTATTATACCAAACAAGTAGATGATACTTCATAGATTAAAAAGCTCATTTAAATGCAATTATCTCAGTTGTCATAAAAGAAACTTATTATTATCCCCATTTTATGATAAAACCTAGATTTTCCCTTTCTGATTTGCCCAATGCTAACCAATTAAGTGGCAGACTCAGAACTCATATCCAGTTCTGACCTGTCCTTTTGTGTTTCTACTATGAAACATCTGCCCATATAAAAAAGAGTATGTGATGCTCTAAAAACATAAATTTTTTACAATTATGGTTCCATTGTCATGTTTCTATTATTTTTAGGGGATGTCAACAATATGTACTTTAAACTTGTATTTTTATCTGTTTTCATGACTTTCGTTTAGAGGCTAGATGGAATGCTAAGTGGGTGATGACAATGGGAAAGGACAATTCTTTGTGGCATCACTCAGCCTTCTGTTGCCTGAATAATTTCAACTGTGATTCCATATTTGCCTCTCTTACCCAACAGTACAACATGAGAATTCATCAGATTCAATCTCCTTAAAGAGCCATGCCACTTGGGGAGGGTCTTACCAGCCCCCAAGAAGTCCTAGTAAATACAATAGACCCCATTTTATTGTTTTCCAGTGATGTTTTAGTGTCCGTTTGTTGTTCAGCGCCAGTCTCTAAAATTACTGTCCCCTAGGAAGCTATTCAGTTCTTAACCAGGTCCAGCTATTACTGCTTTACCCTCTTACTAAAGTGACTTTGGAGTTACTTGACTTCAAATCCTCTCTACTGGGAACCTGAGTGAGAGAATAATGGAGCACCACCTAAACAGATACACTTAACTAGATTCCGTTGGTATTTTCAATAACCACTCTCTTCTATTCTTTGCTTCTCCTTGAGGCTTACCTACTCTGACCACCCACCTGCGTGCTCTATTCTGCATTCTCCATTCCCCTAGCCCTTCTCTGGTTTTTCCATGGCACTAACTTTCTGACATACTGTTGGATTTACTTGTTTATTACATTTTTGTTTTGTCTCTCTCTTGCAACTAGAAGGTAAGCTTCACCAAAGAGTTTCTTCCCCTCTCTTTTTATTCACTGATGGATGTACCCTCAGCACAGATGTACCCTAGTGAGTCACAGGCTCTTCTTCAGTAGATTAAGCTTGTGTGGCACCTGAAGTTAATACGATAAGGCAGAACCTCCTTAATGAAAAAATACAAAGTTGGGGATGTAAGTAAATATTTGAAATTAAATCTACAAAATTTTTGAAGTTAACAAATAACACAAACTTACCAAATCCAGAAAAATAACATTTTTATAAATTAACTATTCATCTATCTCTATAATACTTGCTTTCTACATATTTTGGCTGTGTATTCTTTGATTGCCTCTTCATATTTTATATTCTTATAGAGAGAATAGAAAGATAATTCTGACCTTCCTCTAACATGATTGATCAAATTTTTGTTCACATCTTCCTCTTCAGGATCTGTATAGCACTTTTTTCACAGAATTAATATAGCATCATCAATTCTGTTATTATATATGTGAATATTTCATATACCTTTCACATTTCATATACAAACTAATATTTCATATACATGTGAAAATAACATACCGTTTCTGCTGCTACTGGGGCTTGACAGAACCTAGTGTATCATTCCCGAAATATTTATTGAATTGGATTAAAGAAAAAGATTACCAAAATGCAGAACCAAGGAACAAGAATACAGGAAAGAGCATTTGAAAAATAAGTCAAACTTAATATCAATTTGATTTCACACACACATGTATTAAATACAAAGCAGAATTTTTGGTATAGCAGTCATTAGTGAGATTGGAGATGGACAGAACCCAGAACATATAGGACCTTAGAAGTTCATGATAAGGTATTCTTTCCTATTATTGTTCTCCAGTTTAAAGTAAAAAGAAAGTTGGACACTCACTGATTAATAAAATGTGCTGATGGTGTCTTATAGGTAGTATTAGTTCAGTAATTGCTTCTTTTTTTTTTTATTATGAAAATTTCAAACATTACACCAAAGTAGGATAAATAACTCCCACCCTTAATGATTATCAGTATTATTATCATTTACCAATCTATTTTTTTCACTTTTTTTTGTTTCATAGGGTGTTTTATTAAAATTATTTGTTTGCTGTTTCACTGGTAAATACTTCAGTATACACTGCTAATAGATAAGGACTTCTTATTAGCATAACAATGCTACCATTATCATATCTAACAAAATTAACAATAATTCCTTACTATTACAAACCACCCATTCTGTGTTCAATTTTTCTTGATTGTCTTAAGAATAACTGTACATCTGGTTTATTCTAATCAAGACTTTTGAATAGCATTTTATTGAGATGCATCTTATGTTTCTTTTAATCCATGACTTTTTTCCTCCCTCTTTAAAAAGTGTCATATGTTTGTTTAATAAGTAGGTCATTTTACCTGTTGAATATTCTAAACCCTGTTGGATTTAGTTTAACAATTATTCTTGATCATCAAAGGTAGTGTGGTGTTGTAGGAAGCATAGTATTTAGAAACAAAAATCCTGAATTCATGTCTCAGCTTAATCACTTAGTGTGTCCTTAAAGAGATCGATTTACATCTCATTGGTAAAACTAGTAGTGTTAGGAAATTCAATGCCCAAATCCAATGCCCATTTCAGAATGAAACTATCAAAGGAAAAGGGAGATTACTATGAAGTACTATAGACTATAGTCCAATGTATCTCAACAAACTGATCTTGGTACATTATTTTCCCTACACATGTTTTACCTCTTGACATTTATTATTATTGGTGTGTAAGGTTGAGAGGATAATATTACCTGGCCCAACAGTCTTCCAGAAAATAAGTATATACAATACATGTGACAACCGTTAAAACCCTTTAAAGGAAGTGTAAAAGTTTGTGATGTTACTTTTAGCAGGTATTCTAATAACAAATATTAAATTTAATGTAATCCATTTTCATTTTCATCTGAGTATGTTTCTAAATTGCTTCAATATGGGTCAACATTTT